AAGAACATTAGATTGTGTCCTGGGTACCAGTTCTAGCTTCATGCTTGAATTGTTTAATGAAAAACACATGGTTTTACTCAGTTTTCAGGTTAGTAAAAGTTCTGCTTCCACACACTCAAAAGCCTATGCTTTTGTATAACAGCAGGAAATCTGAAATAAAAATAAAGTGCTGGAGAAACTCGGAAGGTCTGGCTGCTTCTGTGGAGAGAAAAACGGAGTTAATATTTTGAGGCTGATATGACTCCTCTTCAGTTAAAAAAAAATTTGAAGCTTGTTTCATATCTTCACCCACATTCATTTCTCCTTGGAGAATAGTGGGCAAGTTTTTTGACAGACCGTGTAACAGCTAAATTTTGAAGAGTCATATTGGACTCAAAATATTAAGTGTTTCTCTCTCCACAGATGCTACCAGACCTGCTGAGTTTCTTCAGCAATTTCTGTTTTTATTTCTGCATTTCTGAAGGCTATTTGTCTCCCTTCATATTACAATTCAGCATTCTACTGGTCATAGAGTCATACAGCACGGAAACAGACTCTTTGGTCCAACTCGTCCATCTGACCAAGTTTCCCAAACTAAATAGTCTCATTTGCCTCCGTTTGGCCCATATCTTTCTAAACCTTTCCTATTCATGTACCTGTACAAATGTCTTTTAAATGTGTAACTGTACCTGCATCTACCATTTTCTGATTTGGCCCACTACCACTCTCATTATATTCTGAACACTGTTAGGCCACTGAATAGGCCTTAATGAAAGGGATTGAACATTTGTAACAATGTTAACATTAAGTGTGTGTGAATAATGAATGAGATGATGAATCATTATGAGCAACACTGAATTATAAGTTTCCTAATTGTGAGATGGACCTTGATACTGCTTGTGGGAAATAGTTTGCAATATCTATAATAATAGAATAAATCCTTTTAACTCCAGTGACAAGAAGGATTGTAATATTCTTGGTGATGAGATTATGTGTAATGTTTCCTTTGGTGGTTATAATCTCTCTGGCACTGAAATTGCCTATAATATCCTCAATTGCTCTGCAATGTTTCCAAGGACAATGTGGACTGCTGTATTGCAATATTCTCATGGGCTGTAATATTGAAACTTTATACAAAGGGAAAGGTTCAGAACTACGAAATTCAAGTAGCTGTAAGATCACTATTGTAGCTCAGTAATAGGACTCCTGTCTGTGAATTTGCAACATTGGGTCAAGACCCATGCCAAGACTTATTGGATATGGAAGATATGTTTGTGATATATTTGTTACTCAGACTAAAACAAAATACTGTGGATCCTGGAAATCTGAAATGAAATGCTGGATAGACTCAGCAAGACTGACAGCATCTGTGGAGAGAGCAACAGAGTTTACATTTCAAATTTGATAATGATTTCTTCAAAACTCAGTCTATCAAAAACTTCTCCACTATTCCCCAAGAAGAAATCAGTGCGGGTGAAGATATAGGAACAGGAGTAGGCTATTGGCTCCTTCAAGATTGCCCTGCTATTCCATACGATCATGGCTGATCGAACACTTCAATGTCTCCTATTCACCCTCATCCCCATAACCCTTTACGCCACTGGTAATCAGAAATCTATCAATCTCTACCTCAAACATATTCAAAAACTGATCCTCTACAGCCCTCTGTGGTAGAGAATTCCATAGGTTCATGACCCTCTGAGTAAAAATAATTTCTCCTCATCTTGGACCTAAGTGGTATCACCTTTTCTTTAAATTGTGTCCCCTGGCTCTAGACTCACCAACCAGGGGAAACATCTTAACTACATCTACACTGTCTATGCCTTTAAGTTTTTGTAGGTTTCGATGAGATCACCTATCACTCTACAAAACTGGACAGAATACAGATCCAGTTTGTTTCACACTTCATAGGACAGGCCTATCATCACAATAACAAGTCCAGCGAACCTTTGTTGCACTCCTTCAATGGCAACAAAGGAACAAGCTTCAAGTGTCTAGGCTTTTCCTTCAGTCCACAATCTCCAGACTCATAAATTCTAGGCTGATATTTTAAAAACCTTAGGACTGCAGGCAAGAGAATTTCTTGCTATGCCCTGCTTCATCTCAGAACCACATCCACAAGCATCCACTCCCTCCACCACTGACGCTCAATAGCGGTAGTGCGTACTATCGACAAGATGCACTGTAGAAGTTCACCAAAGATGCTTACAATCCACCTTCCACACCCATAACCACTACATCTAGAAGGACAAAGTCAGCAGTTACATGAGAATACCATCAACTGCAAGTTCCCCTCCAAGCCACTCACCACCCTGACTTCCAAATACATCACCATTGCTTCAGTGTCGCTGGGTAAAAATCCTGGAATTCCTGCTGAGCATAAATTGGGAACAGATGTTCTCAGGGAAATGCACAACAGAAATGTGGAGGTTGTTTAGGGAGCACTTGCTACGAGTACTGGATAGGTTTGTCCCACTGAGACAAGGAAGGGACGGTAAGATGAAGGAACCTTGGATGACAAGACAGGTGGAACTTCTGGTCAAGAGGAAGAAGGAAGCTTACTTAAGGTTGAGGAAGCAAGGATTAGACAGGACTGTAGAGGGTTACAAGGTAACCAGGAAGGAACTGAAGAATGGACTTAGGAGAGTTAGAAGGGGGTATGACGGGTAGATTAAGGAAAACTCCAAGATGTTCTATACTTATGTGAGGAACAAGAGGATGGCCAGAGTGAGGGTAGGGCCAATCAGGGATAGTGGAGGGAACTTGTGCGTGGAGTCGGAGGAGGTAGGTAAGGTTCTTAATAAATACTTTGCTTCAGTATTCACCAGTGAGAGGGACCTTGTAGTTTGTGAGGACAGCGTGAAACAGTCTGATATGCTCGAACAGGTTGATGTTAGAAAGGAGGATGTGCTAGAAATTTTAAAAAACATGAGGATAGGTAAATACCCTGGGCCAGATGACATATACCCAAGGTTGTTAGGGGACGCGAGGGAAGAGATTGCTGCCCCTTTGGCGATGATCTTTGTGTCCTCACTGTCCACTGGAGTAGTACCAGATAATTGGAGGGTGGAAAATATTATTCCCTTGTTCAAGAAAGGGAATAGGGATAATCCTGGGAATTACAGACCAGTCAGTCTTACTTCTGTGGTGGGTAAATTATTGGAGAGGATTCTGAGAGATAGTATTTATGATTATTTGGAAAAGCACAGTTTGATTAGAAATAGTCAGCATAGCTTTGTGAGGGGCAGGTCAGGCCTCACAAGCATTATTGAATTCTTTGAGGATGTGACAAAACACATTGATGAAGGTAGAGCAGTGGATGTGGTGTATATGGATTTTAGCAAGGCATTTGATAAAGTTCCACATGGTAGGCTCATTCAGAAAGTAAGGAGGCATGGGATTCAGGGAAATTTGGCTGTCTGGATACAAAATTAGCTATCCATTAGAAAACAGAGGGTGATAGTAGATGGAAAGTATTCAGCGTGGAGCTCGGTGACCAGTGGTGTTCCGCAGGGATCTGTTCTGGGACTTCTACTCTTTGTGGTCTTTATAAAATGACTTGGATGAGGAATTGGAAGGGTGGGTTAGTAAGTTTGCTGATGACACTAAGGTTGGTGGAGTTGTGGACAGAGTGGAGGGCTGTTGTAGCTTGCAATGGGACATTGACAGGATGCAGAGCTGGGCTAAGAAGTGGCAGATGGAATTCAATCCGGAAAAGTGTGAAGTGATTCATTTTGGAAGGTCGAATTTGAATGCAGAATACAGGGTTAATGGCAGAATTCTTGGCAGTGTGGAGGAACGGAGGGATCTTGGGGTCCACATCCATAGATCCCTGAAAGTTGCTACCCAAGTTGATAGGGCTGTTAAGAATGCGTATGGTGTGTTGGCTTTCATTGGCAGGGGAATTGAGTTTAAGAGTCGTGGGGTTATGCTGCAGATCTATAAAACCCTGGTTAGACCACACTTGGAATATTGTGGTCAGTTCTGGTCACCTCATTATAGGAAGGATGAGGAAGCTTTAGAGAGGGTGCAGAGGAGATTTACCAGGATGCTGCCTGGACTGGAGGATAAGTCTTATGAGGAAAGGTTGAGGGAGCTAGGGCTTTTCCTATTGGAGTGAAGAAGGATGAGAGGGGACTTGATGGAAGTGTACAAGATGATGAGAGGCTTAGATAGAGTGGATAGTCAGAGACTTATTCCCAGGGTGGAAATGACTGTTACGAGGGAGCATAATTTTAAGGTATAGAGGAGATGTCAGAGGTAGGTTCTTTAAACAGGAAGTGGTGGGTGTGTGGAATGCACTGCCGGCATTGGTAGTATCTGGAGTCGGATACTTTAGGGACATTTAAATGACTCTTGGATAGGCACATGGATGATAGTAAAATGTAGGGTATGCAGGGTAGATTGATCTTAGTAGGATAATAGGTCGGCACAACATCGTGGGCCGAAGGGCCTGTACTGTTCTATATTTTATGTTCCTCCAGAATGGCATTATGGGTCTACCTACAGTACATAGTACATCACAGGAACAGGCCCTTCAGCCCACCATGCCTGCGCTGACCATGATGACATTCTAAACTAATCCCACCACCTGCACATGGTCCATATCCCTCTATTCACTGCCTGTTGCTCTGTCTGTCTAAATGCCTCTTAAACATTGCTATCTACAATGGACTGCAATAGGGTTAGGGTTAGGGTTAGGGTTAGGGTTAGGGATAGGGTTAGGGATAGGATTAGGGTTAGGGTTAGAATTAGGGTTAGTGTTAGGGTTACGGTTAGGGTTAGTGTTAGGGTTAGGTTCAAGAAGGCAGTTCGCCATCACCGTCACAATGGCGACGAGTGACGGGCAACAAATACTGGCCCATCCAGCGACACCCATGTCTCACGAGTGAAAAGAAGGAGCCTGTGCTGCACCCCAAGTTTCAACCTTGATGGGATCGTAGCCACCTGCTTAGTTTAGTAAAGTTAACATGTCCAAACGGAGGAGGATTGTGCGAACAGACATTTATTGGTTTCCTTACTTTGTGTTTGGCGTGGATCAATGATGCTGTCAGGACTCTCATCATCGGACACTCCAGTCGCGGAGCCGTCGACTACTTGAAACTTGCTGCTCTGCTTGTTCCAGACGTGGTGCATTTCCATAGCAGCCTCCCTTTCAGCAGCGAGATCCAGGTCCTGCTGTGCTAGGTGGGCCCTTAGCTGTCTGATTTCAAACTATACATTGGGTACAAATGTAGACACATGTTATCATGAGAGACATTTATTATCATCAGAACTGTAGCGGCTTGGTTAGCTCAGCCGGCTGGCTTGCGAGTTTGCAATACAGAGTGATGCCAACAGCTTGGGTTTAATTCCCACACTAGTTGAGGTTACCAGGAAGGACATTCCTTCTCTACCTCTTCCCTTGCCTGTGTCTTGGTGACCCACAGGTTAAACCGCCACCCAGTCACCTCTCTCTAATGGGAGAGCTGCTCTATGATCTGGTAGGACTATGGTGAATTTACATTTACCAAAAGACTGACATTTATACAGAAGCTTTCCATAGGATATATTTTTTAGGGACTTTGGAAGGTTGAGAATTTAGTCTATTTTAGTATTTGATTTTCCTCAGAAAAATTCAGGGATGACTCTACTTTCTAAGCATGCATCAAGTGTATTTAAAATCTCTCTCCAATCAAAAAAAAGTCTAATTTAATGTCTATCCCAGCTCTGGTTTCTGTGGTCTGTTTACTGTCTGTTTACTTTGCTCTGATTGATCACCCAAGTCCAGCAATCAAGCACAGTGAGCCTGGATCAGTGACCAAAGTCACACAGTTGAACATCGACAATGAAACCCTCAAACACTGTAGGCAGGTGTGTGGTGATCAGGTGGTATGGAAAGGGTGATCCTGAAACAGTGGTTGGAAGATTATTCCGTGATATTGCAGTGGAGTGATTGTGACAAAGAGGATCCATATGTGGGGTTGGGGCCAAATTTATCTGGGGAAGTAGTGAATCAGAAAGAAAATAAATTCTTGTATTTATAAAGCACCTTTCAAATTTCCTTGCAGCCACTTACATATTTTTTGAATTGTCAGTGCTATTGTAACATAGGAAACACAGCAATCACCTTGCAGAAGGTAAGTTACCACACATCGCAATGAGAACATGACCAGTTAATCTTTTTTTTAAGAGATCTTTGGCCAGCACTCTGAATGGGAGAAGTGCTATTTTAGTTGGTTAAGTTCCAGGGGCTGGGGTTGAGGGACAGAATTGTCTCTGAGTCTAGGGTTTTAAAGTAATAAATTTCTGTGTGCATTGGACACATCATCAAAAATCAAATTCCATACTGTATTTGGACACAAATCATGCACAACTCAAAAGACACAGACTCTATTTAGGATGGAGGCATTATCTGGATGAGAGGCCAGTTTTGATAGATTGGTGTGAATTCACTGCCCTCTGCTGTCATGCAATGGTAGTACAATCACTGCACCAAGCTGATGACCTTATGATCCCAAATGATCAGTGGGAATTATATTTTATAATGGACTTTTTGTAATGGATTTTTCAAAAGATTTATCCTCAATAGTAAGCCAGTTCTTTATTTATTGTATGACTGTAACATGTAAAGGCTTGTTTGTTTGTGCCCACAAATGTTCCTGGCTCCATAAGCTTTTAATTCTAATCTCTGCTTTGGAGTCACCAAGATTGGTGTATGTGATAAGGGCCATTCAGCCCAGCATAAATCACACATCCAGACACATACAGAGGCACCACCATTGACAATTTTTCAAACATTTTCTTTCCCTTCAGTCCTGTACTCCGATCAATATTTATTCTCCAAGTGAAATAATTGAAACCACATTATTTGGTCATCCAACATATTGCTATCTGTGGGAGCCTGCTGCAGGCAAATCAAGCCACAGTAATTAACAAAAATGCTTAATTGGTTGTAAAAGGCTTTAGCACATGCTGAGGTCAGGAAAAGCCTATATAAATGCATATTCTTTCTTTCCTTGTCTGCAAAAATCTGATGCACATGTCATACGGTTATACAGCATGGAAATAGAGCCTTCAGTCTAATTCATTTGCAGCAACCAGGCGTCCTAATCTGACCACTTTACCAGCATTTGGCCCATATCCCTTTAAAGTCTTCCTATTCATATCCCTTCCAGCATATCAGATGTTGTAATCATACCAGCCTCCACGACTTCCTCTGGCAGCTCATTCCATGCAAGCACCACCCCTGCATGAAAATGTTACCCTTCAGGTCCCTTTTAAACCTATGCCCTCTAGGTTTGGACTCACTTACGCTTGGAAAAAGACCTTGGCTATTCACACTATCCATGCCCCTCACGATTTTATAAACCTATATAAGGTCACCCCTCAGCGTCCCACACTCCAGGGAAAATCAGCCTTTTCAGCCTCTCCCTATCGCTCAAACCCTCCAATCCTGGCAACATCCTTGTAAATCTTTTCTGCACCTTGTCAAGTTTAATAAAATATTTTCTGTAGAATGGTGACCAGAATTGTATGCAGTATTCTAAAAGTGGCCTCACCAATGTCCTGTACAGCCACAACATGACATCCCAACTCCTATATTCAATGCACTGACTAATGAGGGCAAGCGTACCAAACACCTTCTTCACTATCCTGTATACCTGTGATTCTACTTTCATGGAACTATGCACTTGCATCCCTAGGACTCTTTGTTTGGCAACACTCCCCAGGGCCCTACCCTTAACTGTATAAGTCCTGCCCTGGTTTGCCCATGCACAAGGATTTCTCTGGTTTAAGTCTCAGATTTCCCTTTTGAGCCAGTCTTATTGTGAAACAGTTTAATTTTAAAGCAGTGCTCAGTACATTTGAATTCTACCATGTGGTCTTTTCATTGTGGCCTGTTTCATTAACTGGCTGATCTGCAAGAGAAACAGAATGGTATAACCCTAGACAACAAGGTGTACAGCTGGATAAACACAGCAGGCCAAGCAGCATCAGA